GCTTCAATCGTGTCTGACTCTGTGCAACCCCATAGACGGCAGCCCACCAGGCTCCCCTGTCCCTGGGATTCTCCAGGCATGAACACTGGAGTGGGTTGCCATTTCCTTCTCCAGTGCATGAAAGTGAAGTCTCTCAGTCATGTTCGACTGTTAGCGACCCCATGGACTACAGCCCACCAGGCTCCTTCGTCCATGGGATTTTCCAGGCAAGAGTACTGAAGTGTGGTGCCATTGCCTTCTCCGCAATAGTTGTGGAGAATGAGTTTAGTTGCCTAGCTGCATGTGGCATCTTTCTGGATCAAGTATTGAACTTATGTCCCCTGCACTAGCAGGCAAATTCTCAACCACTGGACAGAGAGGGAAGTCCTGTCCCCACCCTCCCCAGTCTCTTAACACTGTAAAACCATTCTTAGCTAGAAGGGCTGTACAAAAACAGGCCTGATATTTTGTCTTACAAGCTTGTAAGACTCTTCAAGTACTATATCAACTATATCAAGTTTTAGTTACAGCCACTAGTTATAATATATACATAAAATAGAATTACTGGTTAACCAAAGAAATGTTATGTGTTAATTTTTATCCTAACAGCAAAGCAGGATTTTCAAGTGAAACAGTGTGAGTCATTTTGGTTTTTTGGGTTATGTTTAGCTTTGATCAAAACTGGCCTAGTCCGCCAGGGATAGATATACTGTTTTGAATAACTGGCAGGTGTGGTACAATTCACATTGATATATTATAGGACCTAAATAATTAGACAGGACAGGACACAGGTGATAATTGCTGAATCCAAGAAATTGCTGAGTTAGAAGCAATTTTTCTAAGTGAAGCATATCATTTTTTAGCAAGACAGTGACTTGATGACACTTTTCACTCATCTTTACTGTTATGGTTTGTTCAAGGGTGCAATAATGTCAAGGATTCCAAAAGTTATGTAAACACACTATTACTGATGGCATGGGGAAATAGAAACTCTCAACACATTGGTGGTGATGGTGTAAATTGACACTTCCTCTTTGTACTGTGATTTGGCAATATCTATCAGCATTAAAAATATACCTACACCTTGACCCAGTTCTTCTGCTTCTGGGAATTTACCCAATTTGTACAATCCACACAAGCAGATATTTAGGCATTGCAGCATTGTTTATACAGGCAAAATATTAGAAATAATGTAAACACCCATCAATAGAGCAGTGCTTAAAATATATGGTTCACATACAATGGAATATTATGCAGCTCTTTAAAAGAATCAGAATTATTGATAACTGCTGCTATGGTACAATCTCTGAGATATGTATCTTAAAGCAAGCTATAGTACTAAACAAGTTACAGTATGAGGTCAGCTCTCTATACCTAAGAGTTCTTCATCCATGGTGCCAATCAACCTTGGCTTGAAACAATTGTGAAGAAAAATTGCAGAAAGTATCAAAAAGCAAAAATTGAGTTTTCAGCTCACTGGCAACTATTTACATAGAATTTACATTGTACTGGGTATCACAAGTAAATCTAGAGATGATTTGGAGTAGATTGGAGGACTGTGGGAGGCTTCCCTGGTGACTCAGTGGTAAAGAACCCACCTGCAGTGTGAGAGAGACACGGGTTTGATCCCCGGGTTGAGAAGATTCCCTGGAGCAGGAAGTGGCAACCCGCTCAGATATTCCTATCTCAAGAATCCCATGGACAGAAGAGCCTGGCAGGCTACAGTCCGTGGACTTGCAAAGTCAGATGTGACTGAGCATGAATGCATGGAGGATCATAGGTGGTATGTGAAAATATTAATACTACAGCACTTTATGCAAGGGACTTGAGATTTTGGTATCCTTGAGGTTCCTGGAACCAATCCACTGATACCAAGGGACAACTATAGAATGTATGGTATGCTATTACATGTTTAAAAACAAAAGTCATATTTATGTATATGGCCTTACAGATAGTATCACTGGAAGGACTTCAATAGCATTAACATTGTCAGACACTATTCTAAGAGCTGTCTATAACTGACACATTTAATTCTCATAGCAACTTTATTAATGTAGGTGATATTATTCCCATTTTACATATGAAGAACCTGAAGCATAGAGAGATTAAGTAACTTGCTCAAAGGCACAAGAATCCGGAGAAGGCAATGGCAAGCCACTCCAGTACTCTTGCCTGGAAAATCCCATGGGTGGAGGAGCCTGGTAGGCTGCAGTCCATGGGGTCGCAAAAAAAAAAAAAAAAAAAAAGGCACAAGAATCTGGTAACAATGGTTACTTCTAGAGTCAGGAGACTCAAGGACCAAGGGTCAGAGAGACTTAATTTTTGCTGTCCATCTTTTTCAGCTGTGTGTGTGTGTGGTTTGCCATGTTTATGCATTATTTAAAAAATTATTTTTAAATTAAAATAGGAAAATGGTAAAAAGACTCTCATGAGTGCTGTTTATAAGACAATCTTACTCATTTTCAAAGATGTGCCAATTAACATAACTTCCTGGCTTCCAAAGGATGAGAAGGGTTGATAATGCCTGCAGTTGGAGAGGAGAAGCTGGACCCTAGGTAGATAAAATCATGGAAGCTTTTTGGAGAGCAGTCTGGCACTGGGTTATGCTAGATTGCATGTGCTGCGATAACAAAGTACCACAAACTGGGTGCTTTAAACAGCCATTTATTGTCTCATAGTTCTGGAGGCTGGATGGTCTAGATCGGACTATTAGTAGGATTAGATCCTTTTGAGGGCTGTGAGGAAGAAACTGTTCAAGGCCTCTCTCCTAGCTTCTGGTGGTTTGCTGGCCATCCTGGGTGTTGCTCCATGCATAGACTCTTCTGCCAGTCTCTGCTTTCATCTTCACGTGGTTTTCTTCCCATACATGTGTCTGTCTCCACATTTTACCCTTCTTTAGAGGTCACAAGTCATATTGGATTAGGGCCCACCCTAATGAACTCATTTTAACTTGACCACCTCTGTGAAGACCCTATCTCCACATAAAGTCACATTTTGAGATACTGAGGGTTAGAACTTCAACACATGTATTGGTGGGGAGACATAATTCAACCCATAAGTAACATGGGTATCCAAATTTAAAACATGCATACTCTCTAACCTTGCAATGCCACTTATGGGACTGCGTCCTTAAGAAATAATCTGGTGCTCGTTTCAGCAGCACATATACTAAAATTGGGACTATACAGAGATTAGCATGGCCCCTGTGCAAGGATGATAGGCAAATTCGTGAAGCGTTCCATATTTTTAAAAACTGGCCAGAGCTTGTTTAAAAAAAAAAAAGAAATAACCTGAAAGTATGCATAGATATTTCTAGAAGGATATCCATAATGGCATCTATTGGAATGTTGGAATCTACTGAAATAGCAGTAAAAGATTGGCTAAATAATGATACACCTGCTTCTGTTGTTAAAGATAATATGGATTGATATGCATTGATATAAAAAGATATGCAGAATATATTAAGTATAAAAAGTAGGTTTACTTAATACTGTGTCATAACTTAAATGGGAAAGAATTTGAAAAAGAATAGATACATGTATATGTATGGCTCAATCACTTTGCTGTACATTTGAAGCTAATACAACATGGTTAATCAACTATGTGTGTGCTTAGTCGCTCAGTCATGTCCAACTCTTTGCGACCCCAGGGACTGTAGCCCGCCAGGCTCCTCTGTCTGTGGGATTTTCCAGACAGGAATCCTGGGGCAGGTTGCCATTTCCTACTCCAGGGGATCTTCCTGACCCAGGATTTGAACCCGGGTCTCCTGCACTGGCAGGCATCCTTGACCACTGCGACACCTAAGAAGCCCTCTAATCAACTATACTCCAATATAAAATAAAAAGTTAAAGAAAGGTGATTTCAAGTACTTTAGAACCTTGCATATCAATCCAGTAAGGAATAAAGATCTTTCCAACTTAAAAATAAAAGCAAGTTGACTGAAGAAGTGAAGTGAAAGTTGCTCAGTGGTGTCCGACTCTGCAACCCCATAGACTGTATACAGTCCATGGAATTCTCCAGGCCAGAATATGGGAGTGGGTAGCCTTTCCTTTCTCCAGGGGATCTTCCCAACACAGGGATCGAACATAGGTTTCCCACAATGCAGGCTGATTCTTTATCAGCTGAGCCACAAGGGAAGCCCAAGTGTACTGAATATGGACTGTATATTGTTATCCTATTTGTGTTAAATTTTAAATAAATAAAATTTTGGAATAATATAGTCCAAAAACTAACAATGGCATGGAGAGTGTGCATAGGCCTTTCAGTTTACTTTACATATATATTCTCAAACTAGTAAAACAATAAACATATTTCTGTCCTTAAAAAATGGAGTATTGAAATTAGTCCATTTTATTCAGTTTTTAAACTAAATGCAGAACAGAATCAGAATATACTTGGGCTTCCCTGGTGGTCCAGTGGTTAAGACTGTGGGTGCAGTTTCAATCCCTGGTTGGGGAACTAAGGTCCCCACATACCATGTGGCACATCCAAATATATATATATGTGTGTGTGTGTGTTACATACATATATGTATATTTATATATATACTTATTGCTGAGATCTTAGCTTAGTCTGGTAGTTTCTGGGGGAAAACCTAATAATTCCCATTATGACATATAATAGCCTAGTTGTGCACACACAATTTCTGTTTTCTGAACTATATGAAAGTTAAGTTGTAGATACCATGATCCTTCAGTTCTATAAAGTTCAGCACATATCTTCTAAGAATAAGGGCATTCTCCACTCAGTGATGCGATTATACCAAGGAAAATTAATAATTCCATAATATCTAATATCTAATACATATTCAAATTTCCCAAGTTGTTTCCCCAAATATGTATTCTTTTTTTCTAATCTGGATCCAACTGAACTTTATGTATTTCATTTGGTTATTGTATCTCTTAGCCCTCTTTCTGTAAAGTCAGTTTTCTTGTAGATGCCACATTTTCCATTTAATTCACTAGTATATTATTTAATTCTCTCCCATGACACAGATGTCATTTGAAAAAATTTTTACAATGAACATTTTTTATTGTGGTAAAATACACATAAAAGCTACCATTTTAACAATTTTTAGTTGTACAGTTCAGTGGCATTAAGTACATTCACGGTTGTGTAACCATCACCACCATCCATCACCAGAACGGTTTCATCGTCCCAAACTGAAATTCTGTACTCATTAAACAGTAACTCACCACTCTCCCTTCCCACACCATTCTACCTTCGTCTTGAGCCAACCTCTTTAAATTTCTCAAATAACTGGAATCCTGCAGTCTTGACGCTTTGTGAGTCCACGAACTGTAGCCTGCCAGGCTCTTCTGGAGTGGGTAGCCATTCCTTTCTCCAGGGGAACTTCCCAACCCAGGGATCTGACTCATGTCTCCTGCATTGCAGGCAGATTCTTTACCGTTCAGCCACCAGGGAAGCCCATAAAAGACTATAAATTGGTTTCAAGCTATCTAAACAAGGTCCATGTAACATGTGGCTGCTGTGTTTCTAAGCGTTTTTAGATCCGAGCAATTTGCTCCCCCCCTTTTTTAGACTCTACTGCTTTATTGCAGAATGAACTCAATTCATACATGCATGCATTTATCAACAACAAAAATCCATGCATTTAAAAAGAACCACGCACTGTATACTGAGGTTCTGAAAGCTGCTTCTAATTTAGAAATACTGGAAGTAGTTACAGAGACACATTACTTATAAGTTCATATGAACCTCATATGGTTACTCTTAGTTCCAGCTTTGTCAGATCACCTCATCACAATTTAGCAAACCACAATTTTGGTCTAGGTAGATGCACCCAGTACAGCAGGGGGCAGGATTACCTCCTCCTAGAAGCCAAGTGCTTAGGAAACCGCTTCTAACGTTAATCAGAGAGAATGGTTTTCAAGTTAAGTACAAAGATAACTAAAAGAAAAAGTTTTTCTGAATACAGAGATAAGGTAAATTCCCAGAGAATGTGCTGCTGAGGAAACATCTTATTTAAATAAAAGACTGTCGGTATTCTGTTTGAAAGAGCAATCAGACTGGGTTTAAAAGCGGGGCAGGAGTATCAAAGTGGGTAGGAGAGAGGGTGGACGACTAAGGAAGGAGGGCGAAGAGCCGGAAAAAGAGTCGTCAGCTGCCAGAGAAGAGTGGAAACCTGCTTAGCAGGTCATTTAACGAAATGAACCAAGACGCAGGAGGAATGTCCCCGTGGCGAGGGAAGTCGAGCGAGGGACGACAGCAGGAGACTTAACTCCGGAGTTTGGAAGGCCGTGCTGAAGCCGGTTTTTCCACGGACTGGAACAATCCTGAACAAGGTACTGGGCGCGGACTCGGAAACAAGCCTCAGCTGCCAGCCTCCCCACGCCCAGGGAGTGACCAGCGAAACCCAGGGCGCGCCCCAGCAGGTGATTCTGAAGGCGTGACGAGTCTGCGCTCTCCTTCCGTGCCTCCGCCGCGGGAAGTAGTCCCCGGCTGCGCCGGCTCCGTAGAAATCTGGGCCGGGGAGCCCTGAGGCCCTCAGGACATGAGTCCCAGGAGCGGCGGACGCGCAGCCAATCCCTGGAAAGAAGGCGTGGCTAACTCGGTCCCGCGGATCCCTCCGCCTGTGCTCGATGTGCTGAGGCAGAGAAAGCCGCCATTTTGGATGCTGAGTCTTGGTTTCCAAGTGCGACTCTACCGTTTTCACGTCCGGATTTGGCTAGGTGAGTGGGCTTTTTCAGGGTCGTGCGTCTTTGTTTTCTTCCCCACACTGCGTTTCGGGTTTAGAAGTCCCTAGCCCTGGATTTGGACGACTCTAAGGTGGAAGGTGAGGAGAAACAGAATGATCCTGGGTTAGGCCGGAGGTCGGGCCGGAGGGGCTGCGGCGCGGAAGGCCGCCGAAGGCCAGGCTCGGGGGCGTGGCAGGGCCGCGAGCAGCTTGGAGACCGCTAGTCGTGGATACAGGACACCACCAAACTTTCTTGTCCCTGTGAAGGTGAGGAGAAACAGAATGATCCTGGGTTAGGCCGGAGGTCGGGCCGGAGGGGCTGCGGCGCGGAAGGCCGCCGAAGGCCAGGCTCGGGGGCGTGGCAGGGCCGCGAGCAGCTTGGAGACCGCTAGTCGTGTATACAGGACACCACCAAACTTTCTTGTCCCTGCTTCAAGCCGTCTCTACCCCGGGGTGGAACTGCCGCGGCCTGGGCTTTGGCACCCGACGCGGACAGGGCCGGGCCGGCGCTCTCGGCCACTCCCCTCACCCCATCTCTTCTGGCCCAGAGAGACTTCGGTTTGGTTGTGTCCCTGGTGCCCGGGGGAGTCCGCGCCCGAGCCGGGCAGCCTCCCCTGGGCGACGCGGCCTGGAAAAATTGCCTTTTTCTTTAGCGGAAGCAAAACGCGACCTTTGACGCCTTTCGCCGAGCCCTTCTTGTCTGATGAGCGGTCTTTTGAGGAGCCTGTGGTCCTGTTCTTGCGCCCCTCCTCTTTCAGTTCTCATTGCTCGCCTTCAGCTGTGGCTGCAGGTGAGAGGACCGGAAACTCGACCTGCATAAGGTTTTACAAGGATTGGGACCCAAGAGCGCCTGTTTAATAATTAGGTAATAGGAAAGAGAGTCACTTTCACTCTTTGTAGCAGTAAAGTTGGAATTAAGAGTTGGTCATAGTTTTTCTATTATGCTAGCGTATTCATTATTTTTTAAAACTTTTTATTATGAAAATTTAAAGCAAAGGTAAAGACTAATGAATTCCACCCAGCTTCTTCAACGATTATTTTCTGGCCAATCTTGTTTCGTTTATTCCCCCATTATGTATTCGTTTAGTAAAGTAATAGTTAATATATGTGTCGTCGTCGCCCCCCCAACCCCCACCCCGCGCAAATAGTAGCCTTTTTGACTTCTGTACTTAGGTGAAATTTCCACCGGAAATTTTGTTTTTACAGCTTTCTCGGAACCCCATCTAATGGGATAGGAGGACTTAGTAATATCCTTTTATTCGAGGATAAAAGATTGTTTTGAAACCTTGATATTAGTATTACATTTTAAAGTCACCCAGTTTCCTAAGTCTTCTCATTTTTAAAGTAGTGTTCTTGTTCTGTCCAGATTGTTTTCGTTCTTCTGTTTTCCTTTGCCTCTGGAATCTCAATGATTGGGAGCCCCGGTATCCCCGACTCTATATAATAATCTACTTAATTTAAGCTTTCATTCCTTTAAAATAATTTCCCTGGTAATTCAGCTGGTAAAAGAATCCGCCTGCAATTCAGGAGACCCCACTTCAATTCCTAGTCAGAAGATGCGCTGGAGAAGGGATAGGCCACCCACTCAAGTTTTCTTGGTCTTCCCTAGTGCCTCAGCTGATAAAGAATCCGCCTGTGATGTGGGAGACCTGGGTTCAGTCCCTGGGTTGGGAAGATCCCCTGGAGAAGGGAAAGGCTACCCACTCCAGTATTCTGGCCTGGAGATTTCCATAACTGTGTAGTCCGTGAGGTCTCAGAGAGTCTGACAGGACTGAGCGAATTTCACTTTTCCTTTAAAATCACAATTAAGTCCCAATGACACAAAGTCTATCCTGATTTAAAAATGAAACTAGAAGAGAGTATAGTCTAATGAGATAATTTAAAATACAGAAAAAGTAGTATACACATGAATACTAATTTCAGCATTTATATGGCAAATATAAAAAAGGTTGGGAAATTATTAAAAATGGTTACTCAGTGTACTATTAGGCAACCATTAAAGTATAATACTAAAAACTGTAGCAGATATTCTAAGTGATAAAATTCACTAGTGATTGGAGTCTATGATTACAGCTTTGTAAAAATAAGCCTTAAGAGAAACTCTTTGTGAAAGTATGCCCAATGAATTTTTTGTATTGCTTTTTATATTACTTTTGAGAAACAAGATAAAGTTACTGTCATAAATTCTTATGCATTTCAATATTTATAGCTCCTTCTGGAAAATGTTGATGGTCTATGAATTCTGAAGTCTGTACTTTTCTTGTGAATTATACATGATATGCTGGTTTTGTGGTCTTTTATTAAATTTTCAATCTTGATTAGTTTGGTCACTGGTGATTTGAGTACAGTTTGAAAATACAGTAAACTTGACGTTTCTGTACGTGGAATGGTTTTAAGAATTGGGCTGTATTATTGTGGAAATGTCTTCTAGCTTGTTTGTACTTTTATGTCACTTATTCATATCTGCAGTGCCTAAATGATACCTGAATCTGTTCATATCCCTTATAAGAAAGAGGTGTTCAGGATAAATGAAATAATACATTTCAAATACAGTTTTCCCATATACTAAAAAAAATGGTATTCTGTGTACTATAGACTGTTGCCTCCCTTCTCAGTTTGGTTCTTTTGGAGCTACAAGACTCTCAAGTTGGTTTCTTGGGACTTAATGGTCTGTTTTGCTACTTTTTAGACACTTGAAAGTTTTCAGGATTACTGTCTCTGGGCAGCTTCACTAATTTGGAAAGCTGTTCTGAGCTGCAGCAGTCTCTCCCTTCTCTCTCCAAGGGTAACATGAGGAATGGCCCAGGCCATGGTTTCACACTTCCCTTATTCAGAATGGAGAGTTTATCCAGTTTTAAAAGGCTCCTGAAGCTGGGTGATAAAAGAAGGACTAGATCAGTTTGTTGCTCCAACTTTAAGGACTGGGCTAAAATGGATTTGAAAGAGCCCAGAAGAGAACATGAGGTTGCTGACCAATGTGTGACATAATGGTGATGTAATTAAAATACTGAGAAGTAATTTCACAATCACTAGTTCATAATCCTTTTATAAGATTTATAGTTTCCTTTTTTTTTTTAATTAATTTTTGGCTGTGCTTGGTCTTCGTGGTGGTGGCTTCTCTTGTTGTGGAGTGCATGGGCTCAGTAGTTGTGGTGTAGAGGCCTAGTTGCCTCAAGGCACGTGGAATCTTCCCAACCAGACCAGGGATTGGACCTGTATCCCCTGCATTGGCAGGTGGATTCTTAACTGCTGGACCACCAGTGAAGTCCCTATAAGGTTTATGTTATAGGTGTTTATGTGTCTTATAGTTTTTTTTGTGTCACTTATCCCCATTAAACTGTGAACTCCTTAAAACACTAGGGTATTACTTAAATGTCTGTTGTCTCTATCTGTTTGGCACAGTACTTGATAGAATGTGCATATGTGCGTGCTCAGTTGTATCCGACTCTTTGGGACTCCATGGACTGTAGCCTGCCAGGCTCCTCCGGGTGAGAATACTAGAGTGGGTTGCCATTTACTACTCCAGGGGAACTTCTGAACTTGGGTTCAAACCTGAGTCTCCTGCATTGGTCAGCAGTTTCTTTACCACTGAACTGCCTGGGAAGCCTTACTTGATTGACTAGCACTCAGAAATGTTTGGTGAGTGGATGAATGGCAGTAAAAATCTTGAGGTACAAAATGAGTTTAGAATAAGCTCTGAATCAAATGACAGTTTTAAATTAGGTATTGGGCAGTATTAGTACATGGTAACGTATATGTGTATTCACATATACTGTGTTTATATATGTTTTTTCTGTATATAATTATTTGTATATGTATAAAATAGTGACTTGACCAGAATAGTTTATTAATTTCTTGGTTATTCCCAAAATTAGTATTCTGAATCATTCAGGATACAAAGTTGATGGTAGCTTTGGAAACACAAGTTCAAATCCTGAATTGGAAGAATTCCCTGGCAGTTCAGAGGTTAGGACTTGGTGGTTTTACTGCCGGGACATGAGTTGGCTCCCTGGTCGAGGAATTAAGATACTGCAAGCTTCAAGGCAGGGCCAAAAGAAAAAAAAATCCTGAAATGATAATTAAATCGACCTTTTTTATTAGATAAACTTTGAGTGTAATGTTTTTATTTTTACATACATTGGTAAATATTTTGGACATGTCCTAAATAAGATAAATAATAGTTAATACCTTGTGGTTTAGTGTCATTGTCCTTAATGATTGGTTTTTGTAGAATAGGAGTCTAATTTCTGAAAGTTGAAAATCCTCAGAACTCAAGTTGACAAAATATTTTGGCAAATTATTTTCCTTTCCTTAAATCTAAAACAAAACTAGATTCTATAAGTTTGTGGAACTCAAAAGACTTATTTTTAGTTAAATTTCCTATTAACATAATAAACAAGTGACAGCTTTGTACTAAGTACTGTACGAGACACTGTGGGAGTAACAGTGGAACCTTAGAAATAGTGAGTCAAAAAAGAAAAAAAGAAAAAAAAAAGGAGAGGAAAAAGAAAGAGTCAGACACGGCATAGTGACTAAAAGCAGCAGCAACCTTGAGAAGAGCTAAACTCATTACAGCTGAAATCTTCCAGTGAGGTTGAAACAGTTAAAGCAAGGGAAAAAAGATGCAAATACATATTTAACTTTTTATTTTAATCCAAAACATTTAAAATTCCATGTAATAATGGAGTATAACCTTTAAAAATTGTGAGCCGCTGTATTGTATACCTGTAACTTATATTGTACCTCAAGTATTCTTCTTTTTTTTTTTTATTAGCAGTTGTGGCATTTGAGCTTAGCTGCCCCGAGGCATGTGGAATCATCCCAGGCCAGGGATTGAACCTGTGTCTCCTACATTGACAGGCAGATTCTTAACCACTGGACTACCAGGGAAGTCCTAGTCTTCAGTTTTTAAAAAGTTCATTTATCAGCTAATCTTTATTTAAAAAAAATTTTATTTTTGGCTGCGCTGGGTCTTCATTGCTATGCACTGCCTTT